TTTTTGGTTGGTTGGTTATTTTTTTCCAGATAGGTAACAAGGAAGAAATGAAAGACATTCTATTTGGGAAGGAGTAACTGAAATAGCAAGGATTTCTTTCTAGATAGCAATAGCATGACTAGATATAGATTTATTGGCATAACTGTTAAAAATGTTTGGAAAATAATTTAAAACATTATTTTAAAGACTAAAAGCTGCAAAATTAAATTCTGATCACTCATTATATTCTTCCTGTGGGGTACCACATTGCACTGGCAAGGAAATCAAAAGAAAATCAGAATTATGCACTCTCAGTGGCTAGAATTGTTTTAATTATATTATGTACTCGCTTTGCATGACAAGGAATCACTGTGAATGGAACAGAACTGCAGTTAAAAAATAAAAAAAGAAGGGAAATCACTGCTAATGTTTTCAATTCTTCAGAAAACAGAGACTAACATTTTAGTATGACCTGTAGACTTCCTAGCTAGATTGAGCTGAAAAGCTTTCAAAATGTAACATGCTTTAATCCATTATCTCATGCCTGGGTTTTCTCAAACACCTGCAGTCGCTGAAATGGCTCCATTCTTTGTCTGCCCTCCGAAAATGCAGATACAATTGGTCATGTGTACATATTTACTCATAAACACAGTCTACGTACACAGTCCCTAACCTAGACACTGAAAACTGCACGCCTTAATTCTTATCCAGGTTCAAAACCTCACTGAAGATTTTTTGGTACAGAACGTGTGCATTTCATGGCCATTACCTGAGAGCTGATTACATATTTGAAAAGCATGAAGCTAAATTAAAACAGTTTTTGTTTAAAACAGGCTTTAGTGGAAAATATGTTAAAAATACATTGATACCTAATAGTAACTTGGACAGGGTTTAACTGGCCACAGAGATCTTTCTAAACCTAATAAAATTGGAAGAGTATGAAAAACCTTGAGGGAAATAATGGAACTAGATTAAACCTTGAAGGAAGACTGACTGAATTTCACAAACTGCAATGTACAGATGTGTGCACCTCAGGCTTTTCTAGTCTTGCAGTTTAGTCTAGATGAGATATGCTGCAAGCTTGAACTTGTAGAAGTATTATATAAAAAAGAAGGGTTACAATCCAGATTTCAAATTGTATGAGTGTAATATTTGGCAGAGAGAAGTGCTATGCAGACTTAAAATTCAGCAGACCATAGAGAATTCTTGATTCTGTCAATTTTAACAGGCATGTAATTGTGTCATCTGTATAGGTATTTGAAGTCTTGCTTTCACTTTAAACAATGTAAATCCCCAAAATACTATTATAACCTTATTATCTACCCTGCCTGTTTGTTTTCCATCACTTTCAGCACTGCAAGCTTCCCATTAATTCAAGCATAGCTGTAACAGCTTTTGAATAGTGATAAATACCCTTATGTTACTCTTTGTGAAAATGGTATACCCAATTGCACTTTGCCTGCAAATAATGAACTTCTTAATGATAATAACCTATTACTAACACAGAACTCTCCACTGGAATGAAACCTTATGAATATTAAGTGAGACAAACTCCATACCTGGAAGACTTGACTATTTAAAATAAAAAAGACAATATTCCTTTCTTACAAGCCATAAAAGCAAAAGAATCAGCTGAAAGAATTGCAGTTCAAGCCAATTAAGGGCAGTCATGCCTTTGCCAGTATCTCTGGCTTTGAACAGCAAAAGGGGAAAACATTCTGAAATCCTGCCGTGGTAATCTCTTATATGAAAATTCTGATTAAGAAGAAGTCAAGAGTTTAGAGAATTTTGATTTTGACCTTATTTCAATATCTTTTATTTACTGAAGGCATACTCCAATTGATTTCAATTACAGTTCTCACTGGAACAATCAGGAACTATTGTTCTATTTGTAGTAAGAATATCAGTACCTGCTATGCAATTATTTTTAATTCAAAAGCAATTGCAAACAACATCAGGTAATCTAGAAAGGATTTTAAGTACTGATTTAATAGACCCCAGAAAAAGATTTTCACTTTCAGGAGAGAAAACTATTTGTTCTTTGAACTACTTGCTGCTGCAGACTTGTAGGTGACCAGTTAATGGCACATCATCAGGATATTACATTATCACAAAAAATAGGAGCAGACAGAAAGCAGAGGAGGTGACAGTGATTATTGTTGAGAAAGGCAGCAGTAAAATCAAGAAGAATAAGCGAAAGGCATGCATCTTACACTGATCAAGGAGCAGCTCATTAGGACTGTTGCTTCATACCGCTTCTGAGGTAGCAAAGAGCACAAGGCAGAAAAAGACTCAAGGAAAGAGATGCAGAGAACATCTATGCAGCACAGGGGTTTTGGAGATAACATAAAAAAAATAGGAACACAATCACCTGAGTATCAGATGGGAGTTAGATTAGTTTTGTGAAAATAAGACACAAGAGCATGATTTAGGCAGTGTACAAAGAGCCTCCAACATCAGCAAGGAGCGGAAGAAACACATGGAGAGATTATTACGGCAGGGTTCAAATGGAACATCTATGGCAAAGTAAGAAAGGTTTGAAGATGATGCTGGGCACTTCAAAATAGAAAGAGATGTCTGAAACATCTGTACTAATTCCCTAAAGAAATATCTCTTTTGTCACCTTATTATCTACTTTCTGGTGGTGGTGATTTGTTTGTTAGTTAGTTTAATTTTAGCACATAACTGTGCAACCTTAGAAGGAGGAAGACAGTCTGGAAAAGGATTTGGACAGTTTTCTCTGAATGCATTGCCTCAGTGAGTCTTTTTCTCAACTCAGTAAGGAAATAATCAAGCAAAGCTATTCAGCGCTATTTGTGGCCTTGAAATTCTGCAACAGTGCAAATCAAGAAACCATAATTCCAGAGAAATATAGAATGAATATTAAAATCAACAAAAGAGCATTTAAATATGGAACTTAAAACGCAACTGGCTGCATTCTGGTTGTTTCTAGTAAGAAATCCATCTTTTGGTTCCCTTCACTCAAGAAATGAGTCCTATGAGGTAACAGTTCCACTTGAAATGCCCTTTCCATGACAAGAAACCTGAAGTGACCACCTTCCATCACAAATCAAAAGAAACAGAACTGTTTTTCAGCCTACAGCTAGGCAAGTTATATCCAAAAAAGCAAGGCTTTGGGACACATATCTTGATGCAGCTGGCAGTCACTAGACAAAATTCTGAACATTTCCCAAAGCCCAGATCCTGTCCATGTCTTGGCATTACAATGTCAGAAATCAGAGTTTAATTTTGTCTCTCAGAAAAGTCTACAAAAACCTTTATTGTGTATCCCTCCCTATAAAGAGTTTTCTCACTCATATTCAGAAATTTTCTCCAGGATGAAGGAAATGCAGAGAAAAAGAAGAGACACCTTCATGACCACAGTAATAAAACCAATCCAATAAATTCAAAACTTTTGATCAAATATTAAAATAAAAGCCTAAAATTCATAACCAGATCTAATTTCAAGTTCAATATTAACATGTAACTGGTTTTATTTGGAACAATACTTAAATGAGATTATCTCTACAATCTTATTGTGACAAAGATCATCTTCACCTGTCATCTTATATTAAAATAAAAACTGGATTATGCTCTTTCAATCAATATCCTCATTGCTTTTAATTAAAATTGAATGAGAAGGCTTGGGGTCTCATTTAAATAATATCTGAATTAGGTATTAAAACATTCAAATACAGTACACGTAGTGGCACCTATATTACAAGCAAAATTTTGGAGAAAGAGTTAAAATAGAGGAGCATATAGCTTTCCAAGGCATCTATGATGCTTGGAATCTCTACCGTCAAAGCTTCAAAGACAAGCATTGCATTTACATTCTGTGTATTCCTGGGCTCCATCAAAAGAGGGGTGGCCAGCAGGGACAGGAAGGTGACTGTCCCCCTCTACTCTGCTCTATTGAGGCCCCATCTGGAATGCCGCATCCAAGTGCGGAGCCCCCAGTACAGAAAAGACAGGGAGCTGTGGGAGAGGGTCCAGAAGAGGGCCACAAAGATGATCAGGGGACTGAAGCACCTCCCCTATGAAGACAGGCTGAGGGAGCTGCGCTTGTTCAGCCTGGAGAAAAGAAGGCTGCGGGGTGACCTCATTGAAGCCTTTCAATACCTAAAGGGAGCCTACAAACAGGAGGGGAGTCAACTCTTTGAAAGGGTTCATAACTGCAGGACAAGGGGAAATGGTTTTAAGTTGAGGGAGGGGAGATCTAGGTTGGATGTCAGGGAAATTCTTTACTATGAGAGTGGTGAGGTGCTGAAACAGGCTGCCCAGGTGGAAGCCCCCATCCCTGGAGGTGTTCAAGGCCAGATTGGATGGGGCCCTGGACAGCCTGGAGTAGTATTGAATGGGGAGGTTGGTGGCCCTGCATGTGACAGGAGGGTTGGAGATTCATGATCCTTGAGGTCTCTTCCAACCCTGGCCATTCTGTGATTCTGTATAAAGGCAGATGCTTCTCTAAAAGCATATGTGAAGGTAAGGGCTATTATCTAGTGATAACTAGCTATGACATCACACATAATGGAAATCACTGGGGAATTTTATTGGAGCCAGGCATAATTTCATCTCTTTGACAATTTTCCTGAATTGCATCCATTTTGTAACAGAAACAGCTATGGACAATTTAAAAATAAACATTCCCATTTGATTGAGTTGTACCAGTCCCTCCCTAAAAACTTTTATGCTGGATAAAGCCAAGGCACTATGCAGCATGGCATGGATCTCTGGACAGCACAGAAGTCGTTTTTGCAAACACATGTACAGTTGGACAGCTGCCAGGGAAGTTCAAGTTGCATAAGAAAAGAAAGCAAAAGGCTTTGGGCTATGTAAATCTGCACAAGGATACTCAGACAGCAGAGGCAATGGTCCCCGGTGCTCAGGCAGTTTAAGGAAAATTGAAAATAAATAAGCTGGTAAAATAAAAAATTGTTTAATTTATGGATTGTCATTACCATTTCATGCTAAACGAGAAACACAATGAGCTCACAGGTGAGATGCTGCCATTTGTCAAAAACAGGTCATATGAAAACCATTATTTTACTGTCATTCCCTTGGAAGCATTATCAGAAAGAGCCTGCGACACTGGACTTAAGCATCCCTATAACTTGGTTCTGATGGGCTTTTTCCTCTCCATTCATAAAACACCAATGGAAGGCAGTTGAATATGGGTGATATGAAACATGGAAATCTTTCAAGGGAAAAGAAAACACAGAAACAACATTCTTTACAAAATAACAGCACTTTTTCTCAGCACTTCACCAACAAGATCACCAAACAGACATGCTTATTGCACTTTGTTTGCCAGATTAGCAACGGTGAAGTCAATGAAAATCAGCAGCTGAAACAGCTTATAGGAAATTTGAAAATAAAATAGCACATATAAAATGTCATCCCACAGACATCTAGCATTTATGGTACCTCAAACTCAATACTTCCTTCCAGTTTAGCTGGAAGGTGGACTGAGCGCAAAAGATGATAAGCAACAGTGACATGAAGGCTAACACCATGTCACAACAGAAGTACCTCAGCATAATGTGTCAAAATGAGGCATTTGTCCTTGGGAGATCCACAGTGATCTAGTTTTATATAAACACATTTATATATTTCTAGATATTTTTACATACATTTCTACAAACTGCAACGTACACAAATTGACTTTAAATACATACACACTACTGAATAAACATACCACATCTGTAAGCACACCATATGATCTCAATCAAGCATTTCAAACAGCCCAGAGGGATGTGAACATCACTGGAAACTCAAGGAAGTCAAATGCTTTTCTTTCATAACCCTTTAGAAAACATAAAGCATGGGCACATTATGTAACAAATGTTAATCCACGTGAAATCTAAAAAGTCTGCTTTTGCCATCTCTGATAGAGTTTTTCAGCAGAAGTTGTGGAAGAGGCCCTTGGCATGTAACCCCTTTTGCAAGCTGGTGGACAGAGGCTGTCATCTCCAGGGCTTGACCAGACTTTGTACCAGTGAGCTCCTCACCTCCAGGTCACACCTATTTGCATCAGGTCTCTGTCACAGTTAGTTTGTTTCTACATCCCCTCTGGCTGCAGAACACTCTTCTCTCTGAATTTCTGACTCTACAAACTGCCGGGATTACATTTAAAGGGTAGTTAACAGGCTTTTTGTTAAAAGTGTTGCTATCACTTGCATTTATAGTTTAATCCATCAACAGACTCCTGTTTCTACCTTCTCATTTTATAGTTAGCATCTTGCCATGGAAAAGAGATCACAGCTAAAGCAATGAGTTTTGTAACAACAAATCAAAAACAGTACTAAAGGAAAACAATCAAACCATGCATGTGATTCATTATGCGTGTTTCACTAGGACTAGATCATTAGGGCTCAAAGAATTGCAGATATGAAAATATAGTATTTCTTACTGAAACAGTTTCCAAAAGTTCTTCTAAAATCTGAGAAATCTTTGAGGAAACAACATTTAATTAATAGAATTACTAGAGGAAAATATTTCACTTTGTTATGCAGAAGAAATTGTAACTGAAGGATAAACGAAATTGTGGTATCTAGTAAGGAGGTGTCTAACAATATTGGAAGTCAGGTGAAATAATGTACCTAAGAGACTTCAACCACATATTCGAAGTGAGCTCTACAGGACAGTGACGTGTTTCATCATGGCAATTCTTGTGAAAATCAGAAGTAACACACATTCTTATCCATCTTTAGAAAGTATTATCATGTTCTGAGCTCTGTTACTCAATGAAATGCCTGCTACAAGTTATCAGATGAATATAAATCCATCATCACCTTATGTGTCCATACTACAGGCTCTCCTCAAAACCTCTGAGAAACACATTTTCTTCCCTAACTCCAAAACAAATAAAACAGATTTGTATCAGCCAGCTGTAAAATGTTTATGCTTGGTTAAAACTACGTCGTCCTTGAGCACATAAAAAACACAGGAATTGCCATATCTGATCAGCTCAATGATCCATCTCACCCGCTGTCTTGCCTCAAGCTCTTCCCAGTACCTGAAGGGAGCATAATGAAGCTGTTTTTAAAAGGGTGCTTGTTTTCACTGCACCCAGTGTGCCCCATATGCCATTACTTAGAAGCAAATAGGCTCTTCATCTTATCCCAATTACAGACTGGAGAAGATACAGTCATTATTTAGAACCTGCAGAATTTCATGAGTTAAAAAACAGGCTGGTAAAAATTTTGTTTGAATAAAGTAGGCAGATCCTTGGCTGTATTGAGATCATTTGAATTACAGTCAGCTTTGGATATGCTCCAAAACATCAAACTTGGAAACTTCAAAAGCAATTCTTCTTTTCCTTAATTAGGTTTTAAATATAGACAGCCACCTAACAAACTAATAATATTTTAGGGTAAGTTCTTAGGTATATTTTCAACTTAGATTTTACTGTTGGTCTCTGGAAGACAAAAATGTATGAAAATAGTTTTGAAGCAGACAGAAACTTCTAGTGATGAATCCATATCAGGAGATTGCATCTATATGTTGACCTCTTTTTTAACAGAAGAAATATCCTCAGAAGATTTCTTTGCTTTTTAGTAATACCCATTTTGCAATACAAGTCGGACATCAGGTAGGGACACATTCAGATTTCATGCATGACGTGACTATGAAGATTAAATTGTCGCTTTGAGAATATTAAGAAAAAGTCAAACCATGCATATATTTAGAAGTTTTTTATATTTGGACATCTCACATGAATTTCAGCTTTCAGAATGACAGAAGCATGCATTTCTTGGGCCATATAAGAAAGCACAAAATAATCTAAAGATTTTTTAATAATTTCAAGAATCTTGCTAACTCTTGAGTCAACTTAGAGGTTGCAACTTGCATGTATAAGACTAGGATAAAGCACCTCTCAAAATTCAGAAATCTGTCACTTCTCTTCCCCCTTCTCTTGTCCCATTCCCAAGGAAAAGCAAATGCAAGATGTTTGAAAAGGAGAGCTGGAGCTTCCTCCTGCCCATCTCTAGCTCTAATAAGGGCTTCTAGACCCTAGACTGTAGACGAAAAACAGACAGAAATCCTGAACTGAATCTAATGCCTCCCATAAACAGGTAAAAATAGATCCAAAAGCTATGTACTCAGTAGCCTTTTTAAAACTTAAAATCCTAAAATCTAAATGGCAAAGTAGTTATTCAAGCTTAAAAAAGCTGGTAAAGACAATTTCAGAAGAGAAGCTATGCTGAACAGTACTAGTTTACATGAGTTACTTGCTACTGGTGGTTTGCAGACACTTTCCCACATCTCCATCAATATGAGGCAGAGGCACGCCTTGCCCCACCACAATTCAGACCAGGCCCCACAACAGTACCAAGGCCACTGCAATCATCATTGCTTCTTAAGCCTTCCTGACCACCTGTGGGAGCTTGCTGTACATTTTGTGAGCATATACTGCATAGTGAATGGGCATCTACCAGAATCACAATTAAACTATCAAACTTAAAAAAGACTACAAACTTATCTAGCTTGGAATACAAAGATTTTTCCTATCCAAGCTGCATCCTGAGGTACTGAACTATCTCAGTAGGATGTCTGGGTTCTTTATTATTGTAATTTGCTAGCTCTCAGAGAAGAAAAATCTACAATACATTCTGTACTAAATCGTATAAGTGAAACTGATTCTATATTGATGAAATAAATTATGATCTGCATACATGGAAAGAGGGAGATGCAAGAATAACCTGTAATTTTCTTAATTGCCAACTGAAGGGAGTTAGAGAAATAGTTGATTTCTGTATTAGAGCAAGTGGTATGAATCTTACAAATAAATGAATACGTTCTGCCAAGATTAAGGGAAAAAAAAGAAAAAGCACAGTTTCAGATCTTAAAGTAGAAGAATGTTGTTGTTTTTTTTTTAATCTGTAAATCAGTTTTATTATATATATATATATATATACGTTATATTATTTAAACACTTCAGACTCCACATAAAAACATATAATCACAGAATGGCTTAGGTTGGAAAGGACCTCAAAGATCATCTAGTTCCAACCCTCTGTCACAGGCACAGTTGTCAGGGAACCAGATCAAGCACTAGATCAGGTTGCCCCATCCAACCCAACCTTGAATGCCTCCAGAGACAGGGCATCCACCTCTGCCTGGGCAGTTTGTTTCAGTGTCTCACCACCCTCTCTGGGTAAAACTTCCTCCTACAAAGTCTAAATCTCCCTTCCTTTAGTTAAAAACCATTCCCCCTTGTCCTATCAGTATCTATCCATGTAAAAAAATCATTTCCCTTTTGTTTATAATCTCTCTTTAAATAATACAAGGTTTCTCTGGAGCCTTCTCTTCTCCAGACTGAACAAGCCCAGCTCCACCAGTCTGTCTCCATAAGAGATGCACTCCAGCCCTCTGGGGGCAGCCTTGTAGCCTCTTTTGGACCACCTTCAACAGCTCCACAAGAATAAATGCATTTAAGACCTGTAGAAATTTTCAGGAATGGTCTACATTAACAACATGTACATTTCACCTTCCTTCAGTACTAAGTCTGCTTCCAGTACCTGGAGTTTTGATTCTAGTTTATTTTTTTAGGAAAGTGTTGAAGTAAATATTTAATCAAGCCAGTGAAAGAGATAATCTGTCATGAATACACTTCTGGAAGACAGAAGGAGATTGACAATGCATCAGTACTGACAGCAGAATTTAAATTTTCCTCTTCAGAAAGAATTTAGTACATATATCACCTTCCATACACTACAGACATTTCTTTTCACAGAGTGGCAACCCTCATCCAGAAGGAAAGGCAGTAGGAGAATCTTGTCCCCAGACTAACTCTGACCTACCAATTTAAAGATTAGACTCAGACCTAACAACTTAAAGATTTAAAATGCACAGCATCTTGAACAGAAGCAAGCAGCAGATGGGAAACCATTATGAATCATAAGTGCAGCAAACCATTGCAACTGCCAGAAGGAGGTAAGCAACCATAACAACAACCTAATTTGTTTTCCATATATCTAGCTTTAACGGTAAGCTGAGTCAAGAAAAACAGACAAATCCAAAAGAATGGAAATATTTAAGAATAATATCTTTAGGACAGCTTATACCTTGAAGGAAGAAGCTCAGATTTTGAAAGGAGTGAATAATGCTTTTTTTCTTTACAAAAGGGTTTTCACACTGACAAGGAAATAGTAAGTAAATAGCAGAAATAACAGAAAATTCCAAATGATAGCATAATAATAGAAACAATATGAATCAATAATAGAAAATCTCAAACCCATAGGCAAATCAATGGTAAAACTCAATACAATGAGCAGCTGACCAAAAGGAACTTCTCTTCTGGTGTAGATTTAACAGTTACTGAAAACCAGAAAAACAAACTTATTTCTTACAAATGGCCTAGCACTGTTTAAAAAAAAAAAAAGTACAGTGTATGTACTGTTTGGTGACTCAGTTTTACCTAGAAGAGCCTAAAGTCATCTTTAACCAGTTTGCCTAGACTCTATTTGAAATTGAGGAAGAATCCCAAAAGTAGCACAAATTTATTTACTTTTTTTAATTTATTTTCAGTTTTTTTTATTTCATAGCATTAAAAGAGCTTTCTTCTCTAATTTAGTCACGGGGTGTCCTGGCCATAACTATGATCAATAGATTTATATGATATCTGTTGTGATTTCTGGAAAGGGCTTGAACTATTTTAAAGACTACTGATTCATCATCATTTACTTTACTAACACCCATTAAAAGTAATTTTACCCTAATTTACATTCCATTATAGCGTCAATAAAATGCATAGTGTATAGTGTCTAAATTGGGAGAGAGACTGATTTTATGATATCTATTATTTGAAATTTAATGTAAAGGACAAGAAATACATTCTCATATATTTGCTCAGAGACAACTGAAATCAGTTGTTCATACAACACTCCTCTGTACTCTGTGGTCTCAAAGACATACCTATCTTCAGGGAGTTATATCCAACTTGCATTTCACAGACTGAATTATTTATTGTGATTTAATATGATGTATTCTGTACCTAATAAACCATTTAATTCAAATAATTATTAGATTATTCAACTAAAATCGAAGTGGGTAACAGTGTATGGATTCCTTCACTGAACACATCCTCTTTGTAACAGTTTTCCAGAGCAATGTCATTTGAAGTAATCACTTCTCAGTGTAATAGCTAAGTAACCATAAATTATTAAAAACTACATTAAGTGAGTAAACATGACACAAAATGATCTGCACTGAAAGGGCAGGTATTATTTTCAAGGATGAAAAGGCAAGAATACTGTCTCCTTCAGCAAGTTGGTCAGGTAGATCAATCACCAGTGGGCTACGCAGCACCCATCTTTGAAACAAAAAACAACTAAAATTATATGCAATATATAAAAAATAATTCCAAAATTAGCTTACAGACTCTGTGAAAAGAGTAAAGAAGACCAAAGAAAGACCTGAGCTAGTAACTTTTCTCTCCCTTATAGTTATTCTAGCAGTAGGTAACAATAGGTTCCAAAAATGAATAGAGATCACAGTCTAGTAGCAGCTACTTATAGCAAGATGAGGGTGCTTGTCATACTCCATGGTTTAGTCCTGAAAGTGCTTTGTTCTCTAAAGTGTTAAAAACCAGCAGCATCATCAGGTGCTACTTCTGAAAATTTTTGTTAAGAACAAGACTTTAACTTCAGAAATAAATAACTATGAACACACAGAAGGAACCTATCAAAGTTTTCCTAAGAAACTGCTGCTTGCAAAATATTTTTCCCTCTATTTTAAAGTTCCTCAGACTTTGTTATGGTTGATATCTCTCCTTTAACACTCAATTTTGACCCTCTTGTTGGCCTTAGCTTTGAATTTAATTCCCTGTGGCTGCCAAATCCCAGCTGTGATATCAGTTAGGAGGAAGCTGTATCAAGGATAATGCAGAACCACAGCACTGTAACTTCTTGGAGATGTTTGTGATAAAAATGAATGCCAAGTATGCCAAGGAACCACTGTACTCCTAAATACTCAGAAAACTTTTAGTTAGCATTACAGAACTAAACAAAAAGT